TCATAAGACTCATGCTTGGTTAGATTTTACCCAGAGGTAGAATAATAAGGTCATTTTGTTAAGGGATTCATATTGAATATATTTATTTGCCCACATTAAAAAAGCAGTATTTCTCTAATGTAAGTTGGCTAGTGTTTGAAACTTGAATTATATAGACCAGGAAATGCAATAGTATTGATTAAAATGAGACTTGTTATCTGTAAAACACATGAAACAGATACACAATATTTCTGGGATAAACAATAGATTGGCACATCCATAACAGGGGACTTGGGAGTATTCCTATTTTAAATTGGCTATTCCACTTTTCTCCACATCCTTCAAATTCATTCTCCCTGAATACTTATTAAGAGCCAACTTTTTCTTCCCCCCAAAACATTTAGGGTTACATTAAAAATGACAATCCAGTACTCACAAAGTTTCACAAAACATTAGCTACCTTAATTTTGTGTGATGTACTCTGATCTTTTTTTTTTTTTTTTTTTTTTTTTTGCTGATGGGAGTCTCACGCTGTCGCCCAGGCTGGAGTGCAGTGGCACAATCTCAGCTCACTGCAACCTCTGCCTCCATGGTTCAAGCAATCCTCCGGCCTCAGCCTCCCAAGTACCCGGGATTATAGGCACATACCACCATGCCAGGCTAATTTTTGTATTTTTAGTACAGACGGGATTTCACCATGTTGCCTAGGGTGGTCTTGAACTCCTGAGGTCAGGCAATCTGCCTGCCTCGGCCTCCTAAAGTGTTAGGATTTTACAGGTGTGAGCCATCGCACCTGGCCACATTCTGGTATTTTCAATGCTATTTTATATCATTTAAAAAATGCTGGCCAGGCGCGGTGGCTCATGCCTGTAATACCAGAACTTTGGGAGACCGAGGTGGGCAGATTGCCTGAGTTCAGGAGTTCATGATCAGCCTGGGCAACACGGTGAAACCCCATCTCTAATAATTAAATACAAAAAATTAGCCGGGCATAGTGGTGCACGCCTGTAATCCCAGCTACTTGGGAGGCTGAGGCAGGAGAATTGCTTGAATCTGGGAGGCGGAGGTTGCAGTGAGATGAGATTGCACCACTGCACTCCAGCCTGGGCAAAGGAGCGAGACTCCAATTTCAAACAAAACAAAACAAAACAAAACAAAACAAAAAACGGTAGTGACCTGCTAAATTGATTTGACAATCCACCAGTAGGATATGACTGTATATAGTACGAAAAACACTGACTGGATCCAACCAATGAGGAGGCTGAAGTATGTAGAAATTGAGGGGCTTAAGTTCATAAGGAAAGTGAATGGCAATCCTTTCCATAATTCTGTGCAAGTCAATAGTTGGCCTCTAGAATATAACCTTTCTGTATAATTCTTATTGTTCTGTTTTAATCTAAGTCATTATTGCTTGATTTTCCCCCATTTCTCCATTTACCTCATTGTTTCATACCCACTGTTTCCACTCATGTCTTTGAATTTGATTACAGACTGGCTATGGCCAGCATATGTTTGAAATTAATAAAGGAACTGGTATTTTCAATCAAGAAGCTTAATAAAGAGTGAAAATCCTAGACCAATACTGCTACCAAGCAAAAAATTTAAAAAGGTGAAGGTATATAAATCAAGATAGTTAGAAAACGAAGAAATTACAAACAGGCCAACTTCTAAAGCACTTTATCAGTAGACGAGAACAAATATTTAGTAGGCAAATATTTATTGAGCATCCGCTATGTGGTAGTCATTATGCCTTTCATGTCACTTACTGTTTTCTTCCTTTTAAATATATATGTCTTATCTCTCCTCAAGACTATAAGCAACCTGAAAACAGAATTCCATAGTAGCTAGTACAGTATTCTGAGATCAATAATTAGAGATCAATAAATACGTACTGATAAACAAGTTTTATTTATTGGATACCAATATCCAAATAAAGGACTCTTGGCTCTCAAACCTCTTCCTCTTAGCATAGTATCAAAGCAAGCACCATTCTGGTGCCCACTGTTGGTGGAACCACACCCTGCCCCTCCCCAAACAAACAATACTGGGCTATTCCTTTTTTTTTTTTTTTTTTGAGGCAGAGTCTCACTCTGTTGCCCATGCTGGAGTGCAGTGGCACAATCTCGGCTCACTGCAAGCTCCGCCTCCCAGGTTCAAGCAATTATTCTGCCTCAGCCTCCCGAGTAGCTGGACTGCATGCCACCACGCCCAGCTAATGTTTTTTGTATTTTCAGTAGAGACAGGGTTTCACTACGTTGGCCAGGCTGGTGTTGAACTCCTGACCTCAGGTGATCCGCCTGCCTCAGCCTCTCAAAATGCTGGGATTTCAGGCACAAGCCACAGAGCTCGGCCCCAAATGGGAACTGGATCCATCTATATCAATAATGAGAACACTCCCAATAAACCTACCAGGAAAAAAAAAAATTCACCTAATTCCTTAAGAAAACAATCTACAGCAAAAGTAACAACAAACTCTGGCCCAGACATTATTTTAAGGCTTAAATTTATAATTTTTCTATGTCTAATTCTCCTTACATGAAAAAAAAACAAAAAACGAATTGAAAGAGAAAGTTACATGAAAACAAGTAGATGGAATATAAAGAAAAAGGCTGAGGCATTGATAAGGTCTATTTAATTACCAATAACTAAATTTATTTTCAGATGAGTGACAGTCAATATTACTTTTATTTATCCTCATCTCACTTTAATTAAAAGGTGCAATAGCACTAAAGAGTTTTTTAAAAATCTCACAGTTGCTATTATGCCTTAGTGAGGGTTGTCTTGTCATATGTCTGAGAGTTGGCTTGTACTTATCTAAACATCACCTACAATTAAATGTTCTCAGTAGGTAAAGCTTTAGTTACAGCTGAATAGAGTTCCAGGAAACCCCATTAGGAGTTTCACTATTTACTCTACACCAATAATGGCAGCTGTTGCATTTCTGTCCGCAATGCACACTCTTTCCATTGTGCATAACCAACTGGCCTCCTCCCCCCTTAGACTGATTTCTCACATTACAAGTAAAATTTTAATTTAATTTTTGATGTCTTATCATGGATTAAGAATACATATTTAGGCCGGGTGCGGTGGCTCATGCCTGTAATCCCAGCACTTTGGGAGGCTGAGGCGGGGAGATCACCTGAGGTCAGGAGATCGAGACCATCCTGGCTAACATGGTGAAACCCCGTCTCTACTAAAAACACAAAAATTAGCTGGGTGTAGTGGCAGGTGCCTGTAATCCCAGCTACTCGGGAGGCTGAGGCAGGAGAATCACTTGAACCTGGGAGGTGGAGGTTGCAGTGAGCTGAGATCGTGCCACTACACTCCAGCCTGGGCGACACAGCGAGACTCCATCCCCACCAAAAAAAAAAAGAAAGAAAGAAAGAAAAAAAGAATATACATTTATAGTTAAAATTACACTTTTAAAGTAAGACAGCTCTCACATCTACCTGCAGGTATAGAGAAAAAAGAAAAAGAAAAAGAAAAAGAAAAACGAATAAAGTAAGAAAGCTACCAAAAAAACTACATTGTCTACATTATCCCAGCCAGTTAGCTTACTATGTACTATCTCCCACTTTAATATTACATTGTTGAAAACTGAACATTTCCCTCTGACCCTCCTGTCTTTATCTACAACCTAATAAAAATAGCTGGGTTGCCAATGATCTACCCAAGTACAGCTTATTCAGGATTCCAACTCCCATTTCCAGTATCAGAATATAGTCACAATACCTGCTGCTTCAAACACTAGAACTTTCTGGCTTCAGTTTCATCAAAATTGAGACCTGCCTTGGCTAGAAAATTCCAATTCCATTATTTCAATTTCTAATTACATAAGAACCAAACAACTCTGTTTTTTACTTAAGTGAACAAAATCTGTGAAATCATACCAAGTTTCTGCTAGACAGAGCACAGCTGTGAGGTTGCTATAGCAACTCTTGTACACTGACCATAGACAGACTGCTCCACCCAGGAAAGAAATCTTTTGCTCCACCCCGAGGAGTCAAAGGCTCTGGCAAGCAGGCAGTCTGTGAGCTCAGTAGCTGTGATGAAGCAACAAGACACCATTCTTCATTGCCTCTCAATAATAAATTTCACCTTAACAACCACACCATACTCCAAACCAATTTGCTGTGTGTGGTTATATATTTCAGCACCATGATAGGACTGTGTTCTTTACCCCCTCCCATTAGAAACCTGGGCTAGGAAAGATGCCAAAGCCATTTCCCTTCAGGCACACAGAAAGAGACAAAAACCAAAATAAGTGAGACTATTCCCACATTTACCAACAATATATTTAGGTGTTTGCTTTTAGGCTTCAACCCATGCAAACATGTATTCTACATTTTTTTTTTTTTTGCCACTCAGATTCAAAAAATATTTATTGAGTTTTTAATAAGTGCCAACTCTTCTGCTGGGTGCTTTCCCATGTTATTTCATTAACTCCTCACAACAAATTAGTATAGTCCTGTGAGAGATATAATAGTATAATCCTCACTTTACAGATGAGAAACTGAGGCTCCAGAAAGTTATTTGACTTGTCCAAGCTATTAAATGTTGGAGTCCCAGAATTTGAAACCAAGTTTCCCAGCTCTGAAGTCGTGGTTTTTTCCTACTACACTGGACTAATTTTTAAGAAAATTGTCAATTGAAATATTCCATGTTCCTAAAATGTTTTTGTTTGTTTGTTTGTTTTTGTTTTTGAGATGGAATCTTGCTCTGTCACCAGGCTGAAGTACAGTTGTGCGATCTCAGCTCACTCCAACCTCCACCTCCTGGGTTCAAGCGATTCCCCTGCCTCAGCCTCCCAAGTAGCTGGGATTACAGGCATGTGCCACCACACCCGGCTAATTTTTGTATTTTAGTAGAGATGGGGTTTCACATGTTGGCCCAGATGGTCTCGATCTCCTGACCTTGTGATCCGCCTGCCTCAGCCTCCCAGAGTACTGGGATTACAGGTGTCAGCCACCGTGCCTGGCCGGTTTTTAAATTTTTAATGATAATTTTTAAAGCAATACATCTTCACAAGTAATGACTTTATTAATAACTAAATATATTCAGCCACCTTCCTCAATGTATAGAAAACAAAACCACAGAACTATAGGTCTGCATTATGGTCCTGGTGGATAGCAGAAAGCTAAGAAGTTTAGCACAAAGCTAAGCTTAAACTATAAAACTCACATCCTCAAGGAGGAAAGGCAAAGTAGAAAAACAGGTAAGGTAGATACAACTGAGTTTAGATCAAACACCCTATGGAACATCTCCAGGGCTGAGGAGCTAAGGATGTGAATGAGGAGGGTGAAAGTTGGCAAAGAGCACATGCACTATTTACACCAGGAGGAAATTTTGATCTCTGCCATTAACTGCTTTCAAGGACAATTCCAAGTATCAACGTGCCCATCTTCAGTCACCTCCCCACTTCCAGGTATGGAAGGTCTTCTAACATGGTATCTCTTCTCACCATTAGAATGAATTATAGTTCTCCTCCTCCCCAAAAGATCCATAATTACCAACTTTTTCCTACACAAGCTTCTTGGGAATTACCTAGGAAAACAGAAAAACTGTCTTTTAAAAATTGCTCTCCTTAGCTTCCCAAGATCCTGACCTAAAAATTCTTCCACATCTATAGCTTGAACACTCCATCAGCTGTGGATTCAAAGAATTCAGTAAATACGTACTTCCAACTCTGTCCCTTAGGAATCACCATCTCTTAAACTGCTACCCTATATTTGACCTCCTCCATTCCATTACACCTTTTCTGTCTGTCCTCTATTTCTACTTCAGTTCACGACTCTAGGCCCCCAGCTGCTTCAGAGGATTTGAGTGAGAAACCAAGAGTTCAGGAGAGTCATACTAGCTCCCCTAGGCGCCCAGAAAAACTATCAAGTGCAAATTTATTACAAAGCATGCATACACAATGACATTTTTTGACATTATTGATTTTAAAATATAAAAAATTAAAATATACCACACTACCCTGAATTTCTGCTGGATGAGATAATTTAATGTCCAGCTTCCTCTTCCTCCATACTTTCTTGTAAAAAAAAAATACCACTTTTGTGGGTCCTAGAAATTCAGCCTCAATTTATACTGATGGACATTACATACAATGCAAAGAATAGAAGTCAGCAAAAGTTATAAAGTAGTAAGATAAAATGGATCATTATTTTTTTTAAAAAAACTAGTTTTGTAAAAGAGAATGGGAATAGCAGATGAAAACTTCTGCAACTGAATTACTGTCTCCTAAAAATTAAGTAGCTATGGGTTCCTATTGTCTCATAAAACTTGGATTAAAGGCTTCTTCATAAAACTGTCTAATTGTTAAGCTTTTCCTTTTCCAAAAGAGAAAAACATTTCACAGCTCTAAAACAAAATAGAAAGAAGGCACCAGGAAAGCTAAATGATCTTTCTGAACTCTGTTCATTTAACATTGGTTTTTAAGGTTACAAACCTATGAAAAGTGGAATGAATGGTACTTGTAGCTCAGATTTAACTCAATTTTGAATATTGTCAATCTAGTACAATTTCTCAAATTTAGCTTAAGATATCTGCAAAGCAAACAATGTTTCTAAGACAAGATGAGGTTATAGGCTTCAATCAATAAGAAAAATAAAAAAGCAATTAATTTATTATTTGGAACCCAGTAGGTCATTAGGCATTAATTTAAAAATACTGCAACTTCATGTCTTATAGAAGCTAGAAACATGATTCAAAATGCCACAAAGTTATATTAAATTAAAACCACTTTAGACAATTCAAGGTCTCATTGACAAAGTTCATTAAGGTGACAGTTTTGCTATTTTGTTACTGTTCCCACATGATATCATCTCTTCTCAATTTCATTTGAAGATTATGAACTCGTATTGGATGAAAGCTGCTGTTTTTCTGAAAAAGTTTAGTGTCAGTCAAACATTTTCTGGGGCTATTTTTTATGTTCTTTGATCCTTTAGGGTTGCTGTCTTCTTGCTGAATACCTGAAGCTTCACGCATCTTTGAGTTTTGAACTTTTTGCTGCAGTTTACGGACCTGGAGAGAAAAAAAAAACTAACATTTTAGTCAAAAATATACTAAAAATATATTCCAAAATAGGTTGAATTGATGGTTTAAAGTTAAAAAGTTAAAATTGAACATTAAAAAGTTCAATTTGGTAAGTTTTAAATTTATTGAACATCTATTACATGCCTAACACTGTGCTTGTCAGGTAGAATTATAATGAAGAAAACAGTTCTTACTTTCAAGGAGCTTACTGCTCCTATTAGTGAAAAAAAGCATATATGTGACAACTAGAGAATACAATGAACCAGGATAACTTTGAATAAGACAAAAAGTGTATATGTAAGAAGGCCAAAGTAAGATAAGGTCAACGTGGGCTGCAGAGATTGGGGGGAAAGGTTGTATGTAAGATAACTGGTAAAAACCAGAGAACAGAGAGCAGAGAGAAGAACCTTTCTGGTAACATTAACAGCAAATCTAATAATTGGTTCTAGGAATGAGTATCAAGTTTTGAAAATTACACATACACACACGTGTGTGTATGTATGTGTATATATATATATGTGTGTATAAATATGTGTGTTTTTTTTAACTGCCATTCAGGAGTACTTTAAATTCAGGAATACCTTTGTGTACAAATACTTTTGTATATTCCTGAATTTAAAGTACTCCTGAATGGCAGTTTAAAAAAAAGTCAAGGGAATAACTTTATCACCTTGAGTAGTATATGGTAATAGTGGAGGCAGACAGAATTAAACAAAAACAATACGTATCAACGAGCCAAAACCCATTTCTTCAAAGTCTAACCCATTACTTAATCTGTTTCACTTGAGCATAGGTCGAATTTGTAGAGCTGACCCAGACTTTGGGTGAGTACCTAGTTCTCTATTTAGTTAACAATCAATTTTTATTACAGATATTACATTTATCATAATAAAATGCTTAAAATTTATACTGGTATAGCTATTATGGAATATATAAATACAGTATATATATACTAGCTGAGTTTTAAAATGATCATTCTTCTATTCCTTTCAAGTTTCTCCTATGCAATTTCAAGAAAGTGTACAAGTTGCATAATCTTCACTCCAAAACATACAGAAATTTTTACTTATTATAGCCTTAAAAGCCAGTAAAATAAAAATATTTGTTTTAAAAATTTCACTTCTTTCTTTCTTCCTTTCTTTCCCACAATAAGAATAAAAGTAATAATATTCTGCATCTTTTATTACTTTCCTATAAAAGGCAGGGAGGCTTATTTGTGACATTCATATATCATTGACTTATATGAATGATGATTTTGTCCATAGGCAGATGGCTACATGAGGTGACTTGAGGGTTCCTGGGAAAGGCTCCCTCTGCCTTCTGCTCCAGCAGTGTAATAGTGCTGCAAGTTCAACCTACGGAGTCATTGTCTTGGAATTAAATATTATATTCCATGATTTTTCTGTTAAAATAATAAAACTGTTAGCTATTCTTAGTTATTACATCTTAACAGAAGTATAGAGTTTTCCTCACCATCCCTGTCCTACTCACTATAGCTAGCTGAGTATAGGTCCCCAGGGAATAGAACACAACACAGCCTGTTTTGGGAAAGGGGAAATCATGCTTTAAGGACTGGGGCACTGCTTGGGAGCCAGGTTTATATCTGGTAGTGAATAAGAGACCTGCTGACATAAGGGGTATCATTAAGGCATTAGAGGGGAGAAGGAAGAGGAAAAAGAATGCTAAAAGGGTAATTGGAGGGCTGCTAAGGCAAGTTTAGTTTACCTCACAATTTCCCCAAAGCAATTTCTGAATGCAAAACTGAACCTATTTGTTCACTTAAAAATTTTTAACTTGGAGAGTTACGTAGGAGGTCCATGTTATTCCAGTGGGACAGATGGCTCTATTCTGTCATAGGCCTAAGTGACTACCATCTATCTTTTCACTAAATCCCATATACAGACCTCAAATTTGGAAAGTCGTAAAGAGATACAACACTGAATCCACATGTTTTATCTTTTTATTAAAATCTCTTACTAAAGCCTTCTTACACTGTCTTGATGCTTCTTCAGTTTGGAGATTTGTTCTCCTTTAATTTCCATTTTCTTGACTAAACACTCTAGTTCACATTCTATGTCGTCACAGACTGAATGGCTTTCAGTTTCTTTCATTTGTTTCAGTAGCTCTTGGTGCTCCCTATGAAAGAATAGCAAATATTAAGCACTACTATAGTTTATTGCATATATGTCTTTGCCATAATTAAGCAATTTTCTGTTCAATCATAAATTTTAGTCAGACTTAAATATTAACCTTTAAAAACAGCCTCTTTCTTTAGGGTTGTTTAATTAAATCTACGGTAACTATAACCAGGCTCCTGTGATTTGAAATTAAATACCTTTACAAATATCTTAAGACTGCTAAGCAACTTTAAAAAATATGTGAATTCCTGATGCTCATAGCTCAATGTAGTAAAATGTGTGATGTCTTTAACAGAGGTATTAAAGGGCTTTCTTCCTCATTATTGATATAGGATCTTTGGAAGAATTCCAGCTGTGGAAGTATTTGCCTGAAAAATTTCTGGATTTGGAGTTAGCTTACTGAAATGCTGTTAACAGAAACAGCTGTATCTTCTACAGATGTCTTAGGTCAACTAGCTGGTCAGCCAAATCACATAGTTCTGGAATTTCTATTGAATATATATTTAAGCAAGTGGGCACAATATAATGTATCCCATATGGAAATCTTCCTTACTATAGATGCTTCAAAATTTGTAATGCAGACCAGCCAGAGTCTAAAACAAGGAATTACATTCCTACTTGTCTAATGAAATAATTCATTCAGCTAAAAGATTCTAAAACACAAAAGGAGAGCTTTTCTTATAAACGCTTTTGTGAGTTTTAATCTAAGGTCATCAGATCCTATATGTTAGAATGACAGTAGTAGCTATCAGTCCAGATCTTGGGAATACAGAAATACCTTAGAATGAAAAAGTAGTAGTTATAAAGAACTGAAATTTTAAATAGTAACAAATACAATGAAAAATAGTGACGACAAATCTTTCCAAATGGCTAAGTAAGGCCTTTAAGAATTTGTAAGTGGTATTGTTCTTAAGACTAAGAAGAAAAAGTGATATGGTACTTCTCCTGATAAAGAATAAAAATTGCTGGCCAGGCACGGTGGCTCACGCTTGTAATCCCAGCACTTTGGGAGGCTGAGGCAGGAGGACTGCCTGAAACCATGAGTTCAAGACTAGCCTGGGCAACATAGCAAGACACTGTCTCTTAAAAAAATATATATATAAATACTTACATGCTCATTTGGTCCAGCTCATCTTGCATTGCCATCAAAAGTTCAGATAAATTGTCACAAATGGAAATGGACTTTTCTGAGTCACGAGGAATAGCCTTACACCAGGAAGTTGTTCTAGAAGGCCTGGGGAGACATCTAGTCTCAGCCACGTTAAAAGCTTTCTGAAGGATATGTGGGCCACGATGTTGCCTCCTCTGCAAAAGGTTTTGCATACTTGCATTCACAGAACAGTTTGCACTGGTGGACTTATGGGAAAAGAAACAACTGAGAATAATTTTAAATGACTGAAGATATTTTAATAGCACTTACAATGAAACAGGAGTTTTTTTGAACAACTATCTTCATTTTATCCCCTCTCACCTTTTCAGCCACAAAAGGCAGTGCTCCAAACTTTGAACAAATTTGCCAAGGTGGTCCTCTCTTTATACATTTAGTTTTCTAGAGATTGACAAGAAAAAAACATAAATAAGAAATTATTTTAAAAGTTATTTATGATATGAAGAACTCTCAAAACTCAACAGAAAACAATGCAACTGGAAAATGGGCAAAAAGACATGGACAGAAATTTCACTGACAAAGACATATGTATGGCAAACATATGAAAAGATATTCAACATCATTAATTATGGAAATGAAAGTTAAAATTAGTGAAATATCACTGCACATCCATCAGAATGGCCAAAATAAAAAATAGTGACAATACCAAATGTTGGCAAGCATGCAGAGAAAATAAAACCACTCACATATTGTTGGTGGGAATACAAAATGGTACAGCCATTTTGGAAGACAGTTTGGCAGTTTCTTATAAAACTAAAAATGTACTTATTACATGACCCAACAATTGCTCTCTTAGGCGTTTATCCTAGAAAAATGAAAACTTACGTTCACATAAAAACATGTATACAAATGTTCATAGCAGCTTTATCTGTAATAGCTAAAAAATTGGAAACAATCGAAATATCGTTTTTTTTTTTTGAGACAGGGTCTCATTCTGTCACCCATACTGGAGTGCAATGGTACCATCTTGGCTTACCGCAACCTCTGTCTCCCAGGCTCAAGCGATTATCCTGCCTTAGTCTCCCAAGTAGCTGGGATTACAGGTGTGTGCCACTACTGCCCGGCTAATTTTTGTATTTTTAGTAGAGACGAGGTTTCACCATATTGGCCAGGCTGGTCTTGAACTCCTGACCTCAAATGATGCACTCGCCTTGGCCTCCCAAACTGTTGGGATTACAGGCATGAGCCACCATGCCGGACTCCAGATATCCTTTAACAGATGAACAGTTAAATTGTGGTACATCTGTAATGCGGAATATCACGCAGAAATAAAAAGGATGTATTGATACATACAACAACTTGGATGGACCTCAAGGGAAAAAAGCCAATCTCAAAAAGTTACATATTGTATAATTCCATTTATATAATAATATTGAAATAATAAAATATACAGATGGTGAACAGATTAGAGGTTGCCAATGTTCAGGGAAGGGGATGTGTAGCTATAGAGGGATTGCATGAAGGAGTCTTTTAGTGGTGGAAGAGTTCTGTATCTTGATTGTTGTGATAGTGACATGAATCTACGCATATGATTCTCTCATAAAATCTACACGTGTGATTTCTCTCTATGTAAAACTCTCCTACTGCTGTAAGTTACCATCTAAAATTACAACTCTAATCATGTCCCTACTTTTCTCAGAAGCCTTCAATAGTTCCTGTTTATAGAATAAAAGTTCAAACTCTTAACATGGCATTCAAGGTCAGCCATTAGCTCACCCCAAGCTGTATTTTCCACTTTAACTTCCACTATGATCTCATCTCACCCCCAATACTGGACTATTACTTATAGGTCCCTGGAAAAACCAACAATTCCCTCAGACTGTAATATATTTTTCCTTATCTCAGTCTGTCAATATTTAATTCTTCAAGGCTTCCTTTAATATTGCTTCTTGCATTACCTTTCACATATTCCTTTGTCTACACAGCACCACAACACTTTGTTTAAACCTCTATTATTCTTCTATTATACTGTTTCATACTTAAATATTTATCTGTTTCTCACAAATTCCTGTCTTATTTTTTTTATCACCTAGAGATACCAGTCTATGTACATCAAAATGTAAGAGTTGAATGAACTATGTCTAGGACATGGAGAAACAGTGTGATAGGAAGCAGGTCTCTCATAGAGGCTTCCTGAAATCTGATCCTACTTTCAGCAACTTTAGCACTCCCTCCATCTTTAAAAAGAGACACCATTATTTGCATACCCTGTGAACTTGGGATTTAAACTAAGTACTTCCATGAAATGATTCTGCTGTTAATACTCTCTTCTCTTCCAGGAGTTACCTTTTCTTTCCTTCATTTCTTTTATCTTCTTCCTGTACCTTCACTATTTTTATAATAAATAGGTAAACTGAAAAAAGTTCCATTAACTCATCAGAGAAAGGATGCCATAAAACATACATACTGGGCAGTATGTGTTCCACAGGCAAATTACTTACAGTGATTTTTCTATTTGGTTTTGTAGCTGTGAATCTCATTGCACAAACAAGACACAAAACAAATATTTAGGAAAGGAAACAGGCAAAATAAGTCATATTGGGAAAATATTGTTCATTATTATAGTTCGAAAATTCTTTAAAATGAAAAAATTATGAAAAATACAGCCCAAGTATTGAACATTAATTTTTACTTATGTAATAAAAGAGTAGCCAAAGTTAAGTATAATGTTCTCTCCATTATTTTATCCACAAGCTAAGCATATGGCAGTGGCCAGAATTCCCAAATAGCATCTCCTGTCTCCCACAGCAAATGACACAGAGCAACACTCACTCCATTCATATCTGAATAAATAGTAATAATGGCCATCAAAACCATAATTCCAGAATCATAAGATTAAAAGGGATTAAAACCTTTTTTCATACCATTATATATAATTAAGAAGGGTTACTTGAATAGAATACATTCAAAACATCAATTCATCTAAACAAAATATTGGTCTATAAAGTACTAACTCTCCAATCCTTACTTTTAGGCAAATTCACAAGAAATAAGCATAGAAATTACATATAACAATAAATTCCCTATATAAATGACTTTACAGACTTAACAGATCTGTAAGAAAAACCCTTATTTTTTTATTGTGTATATATTACATAAAACTGCTTTCAGGATCTATTATTTTTTCAATATCTACTGTGTTGTTTAGTACCTCTTTTATAAAGTATCACAAAATATATTTCTCCAGAAGTTTAGAAAAATGTTAATCTTTCTAGAAAAACTGGAGTGCTTCCTGTTATTTCACAAAGATAGCGATACTGTCCATTATATGTTCCTTTTTGGTTTGGTTGTCAAGCAAACTCAGAGCTAAATTTTGTACATGACTGCTGCTACTTTTTAAAATCTGAATATTATGAAATTTTCTGTCCTTATACCCCAAACCATCATCCATTACTTGGCATGCATTATTGCATATCTTTGATTATATATCTTCAAATCCTTTTGGGAAAGGGGTAGGTATAAGCATTAACAGGGTGTATAAGTCAGTATTAGCAAATAAAAGTATAGTTTGGGAAAAAGTTTTATATGCACACCTTTGAAGATGTCTTCTTTTCCTTGGAGTGCTTTAGATTTGAAACTGAAGACATTATAATTTTACTGATTTCAAGTCCAGTTTGAAGCTGTAATATTTTTTTAAAAAGTTATAACATTGATTTATAACATGCAAAAACATTGTAATGAGATATCAGGTCTAAGTTTATAAATATAAAAATGCTTTTTGAAGAAGAAAAGAAAATTCAAGATACTGTTTTTGTACGTGTGAAGGTCACTAAGTCTATTGGTAATTACAATACTTTTCTGTTTATAAAAGAATAAATTATTTAATATACATACAGAGATCAAACTGAAAACAATCTATCCTAGGAGTTCCTTCAACTGAGAATATGTGTATTTGTCAGAATTTCAAAAGATTAAAAGACCTCTTGGTAATACATCCACGTATCATACTGGCTGACTGAGAATTTCATTATTATAATGAAAAGACAATTTAGGAAGCAGAAATTAGAATCTAGAACATAGGTTTCAGTTAATGAAAATAAAAATATAATAAAACATATATGGTTTACTGTGATAGATTATATAGTGCCATATTTACCTCAGAAGCTTTGTCTTGAAACAGCTTACGTTGATGTTCTTCTTCCTTCAGTTTTTCTTCTAAATGTTTAATCTTGTCCTGCAAAAGAGTAAAAACTAAGATTGTTATATAAAAACTAGAGCCAAATATCCTTTGTTTCTTTTCCAAATAGAGTCCTAGGGGGTCCTGATTCTTAAGAGTTTGGCAAATTAAGGCAGAAAATAAGAAAAAGGAATGGCACAAGACGTTAAGATTTTTCCTGGCTTTCTTCCCACTTCTTTCTTTGCTCCTTTACCTTCTATTACACACAAGGAGAAAATAAAGGGAAAGCAAAGAATATACACACACATAGGCTTTATTAATTTCCAGCAACAAAATCATTATGATGAAACCTTTAAGGGTACTAATGGTGTAGAAGGTCAAATAATTATAGTCTTGGGTCTCAATGTTTCATTCAAAACATAAAAAAAATAAGTTTCTACTATTTGCATATATATGATAAGAGTGTAATTTTGGGAGAAGAGTGAGAAAATACATAATACAAATATACAATGTGGTCCTTGTTACTTAAGAGCTTATACAGATTGAGGATCCCTTATCTTAAGTGTTTGGAACTAGAGATATTTTGGATTTTGGAATATTTTCATTACTGGTTCGGCATCCCTAATCCAAAAATGCTAAATCCTATATGCTACAGTGAACATTTCCTCTGAACATTATATTACTGTTCAGAAAGTTTTGGACTTTGGAGTACATCGGATTTTGGATTTTTGGATTAGGGACACCCAACCTGTATTGTATGAAAAGAAAAAAAGAGTAATATTCACAAAACATTAAAACAACAAAGCAAGGAAATAACTTGACAGGGACTATATATATGTAACCTTATATACGTAAGTATTATATCTTATATCTGTGGTGTGGTTCAGAATAGAAGGACAGTGCTATTTCAAAGTGAGAACTTCCTGAGTGTTGGAGAGTTCAAGGAGGACTTCCTAGAGGAAGTACAACTCTAAGAAAACCCTATAAAATGGAAAGGATTTGGAGGGAAAAAGGATGAAGAGGGGAACTGGTATAGGCTTAAGTTGACTACAAGTGGTGAAAGACAATTTTTCAATACTCTTTAGGTAAAGTATCTGACAAATAAAAATATCCCGCCATATTAGAAGTCAAAATTACAATTTCACATCAAAAGACAGCTAGCTCATTCATACTGTGACAGAACACATTAACTTTTCACTCTACAGGTGAGAATTCATATCTGGATTATAAAAAGCTGTAAATGAAGTTTTATAAATCTAAGATTTACTCTACATTCACATAAAATACCAATTATGCTTAATACTAAAGATGTATTCCTGTTGTCATCACTTCAAAGAAAGCTTACCTCAGCAGTTTTCTGAGTTGTTGTAAGTCTAAAACACTCTTTTTCTAAGACATCAAGCTTTTCAAGTTTTGCATACAGCTTAATCTGATCTTGTTCTTTTTCCCTCTGAAGCTGGGCCTAGAAAGGATAAAAATAAAATAACAACCCTGAATTTGGTAAGTAATGTCAATGGAACAAGAATAATACAATTTCTGAGAATTCAAAACACAATGTAAATATCGTAAGAAACATGTACATAAATGCACATACTTTAGGTGCTTACAAGCAAAAAAGAATATCAAACATGTTTTGTTATTTATTTTTTTCAATCTTAAAGTCATAATTTTTTAAATTTAAATTAAAAATTTTTTTTCTGAAAATCAAACACTTTTAAGAAGCAAATATAACATGCAAAAAAGGCCAGGCGTGGTGGCTCATATTTGTAATTCAAGCACTTTGGGAGGCTGAAGTGGGAGGACTGCTTGAACCCTGGAGTTTGAGACCAGCCTAGGCAACATAGTGGGACTCCTCCTCTACAAAAAACTTAACAATCAGCCGGACATGGTGGTGCATGCACACCTGTAGTCTCAGCTGCTTGGGCTGCTGAGATGAGAAGATTGCTTGAGCCTGGGAAGTCAAGGTTATGGTAAGTAATTAGTAGGCCACTGCACACCAGTCTAGGTAAAAGAGGGAAAACTTTGTACAAAAAAAAAAAAAAAAAAAAAAGCGCAGATTAGATGTGTTATATTAGCAACAGTGAAACAAACTTGTTTATGCATCTTTATATAGAATATAAATTAATTCTACTACGGAAAACTTTTCTTTTTTTGAGAGAGTCTTGCTGTTGCCCAGGCCAGAGTACAGCAGCGCGATCTTGGCTCACTGCAACCTCTGTCTCCTGGGTTCAAGCGATTCTCCCTCCTCAGCCTCCCAAGTAGCTGGGATTACAGGCCCCTGCCACCATGCCCTACACTAGGTTTTGTATTTTTAGTAGAGATGTGGTTTCACCATGTTGCTCAGGCTGGTCTTGAACTCCTGACCTCAAGTCAACTGCCCTCCTTGGCCTCCCAAAGTGCTGGGATTACAGGCGTGACCTACCAATTCTGGCCTAAGAAAACCATTATTAACAAAACCTGTATTAAATAGTGTTATTTACAAGGTGACCAAACATACTCATTAACTTACCCTCTCTCTAACAAAGAAAAGCAGCTATCAGAGGAATAAAACATAAAAATAACATGGAGAAAGGGAAAGTTTTATATATATATATACACACACACACACACACACACATATACACACACACACACGCACATCTATATGCTATTTTGTAATGGCATTTATAACCATATTAATGTAAGGTATTAGTAATGGGGCAACTGTGGGGGAGCAAGAACTCTTTCTATACCATCAACTCAATTTTCTATAAATCTAAAATGGCTGTAAAAGATAAAGTCTAGGCCGGGCACAGTGGCTCATGCCTGTAATCCCAGCACTTTGGGAGGCCGAGGCGGGTGGATCACCTCAGGTCAGGAGTTTGAGACCAGCCTGCCCAACATGGTGAAACCCTGTCTCTACTAAAAATACCAAAAGTCAGCTGGGTGTGGTGGCGGGTGCCTGTAATCCCAGCTACTTGGGAGGCTGAGGCAGGAGAATCATTTGAACCAGGGAGGCGGAGGTTGCAGTGAGCCAAGATTGTGCCACTGCACTCCAGCCTGTGAGACAACACTGAAACTCTGACTCCAAAAAATAAAAAATAAAAAAGATAAAGTCTATTAATTAAAACAAAACCAAAAACAATACCAATAAACAGAGTCTTGGTAACCTGTGGTTTAATAACATTTAGGTGAAGTCTCAGAGAAGAAGAGAGAGAGGTGAGACAGAATAAATTATTTGAAGGATAATGGTTGAAAATGTTCTAATTTAATGAAAAATATTGAGAGATTCAAGAATCTCAAAAGGTTCAAGCATTAAGAAACCACTTAGCAACATATTGTTGAAAACCAGTGATAAACGGGAAAATCTTAACAGCAGTCTGAGAAATGATGATACATTCTGCATAGAGGAATAAAGAGAAGAACTCTGATTAGAAACTATGAGATCCAGAAGGCAACAGAGACATAATCTTCAATGTGCTGAAAGAAGAAAAGATGCCACCTAGAATTCTATATCCAGCCAAAATATCTTTCACAAATGACAGAGAAATAGACTTTTCCAGATAAATAAATGCTAAGACAATTCTTAGCATTCTGATATTTTCCTTCAGACGGAAGGAAAATGATATCAAAACAAAATCTACATAAAAATAAAAAGCACAGAAAATGGTAAAAAATATATATTTTTGTTTCCTAATTTTCCTGAAAGGATAATTGACCATTTGAAGCAAAAATAATAATGTATTGTGGGTCGTATGACATATGCAGAAATAAAATGTATGAAAACTATAGCACAAAGGTGAATAACAGGATGCATACTGAAAGAGGATCCTACATTATATGTGAAATATTTTAATACAGATTTATGGTAGACTGTGGTTAGTTAAGAATACATATTTTAGTTCACAGAGCAGCTATTAAAAAGGATCATAATTTGTTTCAATATCAACTAGAGAAAGACCCTCATCTTATTCTTCTTCAGAATAGTTTGGCTGTTCTTGGACCTTGGCGTTTCCATATAAACATTAGAATTAAATTCCCTGGTTCCTTAAAAATCTGTTATGTATTTGACCCATCAAAATCCAGTAGTGATTGGTACTTTTACCCTTCTGTCAAGAAAATGCAAGGATATTAGAACACTTTAAACTACTTTACTTCTTCCTAATATATAAGCCATTGTTCTGATGAATTTTAATTCTTTATATTTAAACCATATAAATCTTAATTATTGTTGCCTTATATAATATTCATTTAGATTTATCCACATTATTTACCATCTTCATTGCTCTTCATTCCTTCATGCATCTCTGACCTTCCACCAAAGGTCATTTTCCTTCTGTCTGATGTCCTTTAGCGTTCTCTTTAGAGTGGACCTACTAGTAACAAACTATCTCAGTCTTTTTAGTCTTAAAATGTCTATTTCTGAAGGATACTTCCCCCAAGCATAGAATTCTAGACCAGTATTTATTTTCTTTAAACACCTTAACTCTATCAGTCCCTTGTCTTCTGGGTTCAGTACTTTCAGTTGAGAAGTCAGCTATCACTTTAATTGTCGTCTCTTTGAATGTAATATTTTTTTTTCTGGATGCTTTTAAGATTTTACTTTTTTTTTTTTTTTTTTTTTTTTTTTGAGACAGAGTCTTGCTCTGTCGTCCAGGCTGAAGTGCAATGGCACAATCTCAGCTCACTGCAACCTCCGCCTCCTGGGTTCAAGCGATTCTCCTGCCTCAGCCTCCTGAGTAGCTGGGATTACAGGTGGCTGCCACCAAGCCCGGCTAATTTTTGTATTTTTAGTAGAGATGGGGTTTCACCATGTTGGCCAGGTTAGTAATTTTAGTTTTTAATACATTTTGTAACATTCTTAGCCATTATCTCTTCAAATATTGCTTTTCCCCTATTTTCCCTTTCCTTTCCTTTTGAAACTCCAATTACACATAAGTTAGACCTCATTCTAACATTATGCCTCTTTTGCCTTTGAATTTTCCCATGACATTAAAATATTCTTCAAAAAGATACAAAATTATATTATCATTCCTTATAGAAAATATGCTCTCACCTGTTGTTCTAGGATCATGTTCTTTTCTCGCTCTACATTGAGAACCATTCTCTTTGTATATTCTAGTTGCTTCTCTAGAAGAGTACAACGGGACTGGGCTGAGCTTAACTGTATACTTATATCTACGAAAAAGACAAAATAATAACCAGTCAATTACCTGATTATCACATAGATCAGAGATTTGGTTATCATAAGAAATGTATTATGTGAATTCAATCAAGAGCTAAAAGTTCAGAGTCTCTTTTATCTCTGAGTATTGACTCTCCCAGAGTTATGAAAATACATTTGTAAATAGCTCATTAATTACATAGAACTGGTTTAATATTGTTTCCTCCTAAAAATCTAGAGGGCACACTTCTGAAAGAGGAGGATGTCAGTAACTTGTGGGGTGATAAATATCCTGGTTGTTAATGAAAATAACATCATCTGGAAAAACAGAGGCTGAAAGCTTTTACCTATCAGTATATTTCTTCTCTTTCAGGAAACTCAAGTATATGCATCTACCACTCTCATTTTCCCCTGTTCTTGACTGCTGGCAGAACAGCTAATTCCACAGCAGAAAGCAACCTATTTCTAATCCTTTAGCTCTTTACTTTCCTTACCCCTTTCTCCTACTTTTGTCCAATTACCTCAGAAATATTTTTCTCCCCATTTCTTCATTGTACTTCTAAGTTGAAACAAAAACTTGAGCCTTGTTTATGAGTGTAGTGTAAAAATGAAAAAGAAGGTCGTAAGTTTTGAAGTGAAATTATGTAAAAGACTTATGTTCTAAATTTCTAACATTTTTCCTAATTTCCACAGAAGCCTCCCCCATTTGCCTATGTCTTCTAATTAACTTTGCGTTCCTCTCAAGTTAAATAAAGTTCTTTTGTATTCATTTTTATTGGTTTTTATATTGTTTAATTGCTAGTGTTGTTCTGTATTTCAAATTCTAAAGTTTAGTGTTAACTGCAAATACAAATAAATAAAAAATAAATATTCAATTACAGGTTAAATTGGATTTTGTTGGTTATTCTGAAAATATTCTAATTTTTAAACACAACTTGTCTAAAATCTTAATTTTTCCTTTAATTTCTAGAATTTATGAATTATACTAAGTTAGATATGATAGAGGTAAGTTCAAAACTGTATCTTTTTCTCACAAATATCAAAAGGTCTGAGAACAAAGTCACAAAGTTTGAATATATATAAGAACAAAGATATCTGAGTACATCGGCTTAGACTAGGTTTATTATTTTTGAACTGTATACTCTGATAACTCCTGGTTTCTGAGAACTACTGCATTTCTTACCTTTTTTCTGCTTTATCAGCTCCTGGTGTGCCAGATTTCTCTCATTTGTTTCATTCTCTAAGGCCTTCTTATACTGCGCTGCTTCTCTGGAAAGAATGTTCAGGTTATCTTCAGCCTGTGTTCTCTCCAGCTCTAAACGATGAATTTTTTCCTGAAGAGTTTTTAAGGCTAAAATAAGAGCTGTTGAAAAAATATTTTGTTGATATTTTCAGTGAAAGTTTCTGAACACTTACAATCAAAGTAACATAAGAAAAATAAGCAGTATATTTTTGTTAGTGAGCCAGAAAAATGTACAAGTAATGCATATTCTTCAAAAAATGAAAAATAATGAATAACACTTTAAAGAAGGGCACATTTTCTCTAATATATCTTGTAAAAACAATATATCTATGATTGTATTGAGTGATTTCTAAGACTGAGAAAGGTAATAACCATGATTTTAATTTAATAAAATAAATATTTTCAAATGAAAGGACTTAAAGAAGACAATGTAGTCTAGGGAGCATAAGAGTCTGAATATGAATAAGGAACATTAAAATATAATTTCTACTAATTAACATGGCATTTTAGGTTTAAAGTTAAAGGTTTTTTTCTCAGTTCTTGATGTATTCCATTTTAGTCAAATCACACATATTTACTGTTTCTTTGTCCATGATACAGTATTAAGAAACAGGATAATTATAACCTAATGGTTTACCTAATGTCAGACCTGAAAGATAATAGTACACTATACCACTGTGACTTGTATTCAACTATATTAATATCTTCATGATTCAGATAAGAGTTTTAACTGTCATATACTTTATATCAAATTAGAAAGATGCTAGAGATTACCATTTGATTTTTATAAATGAGATAAATAAATTATATTTATTCCTCTTTACATGGTATCTGTAGCTGGCACATTGATTTGCATTATTATTTCTTATAGTTTATTCCACAAAACTAGTTTATTTATTAACAGCAACCATTATTATAGAATATTTTAAAAGTAGGTGATAACAGAATCTTAGAAAGGAATCTGCACAGCTTAAAATATGCCTGGAGTAATAAAATGTTTTCCTAATTCAACTTTAAGATCCTCCTACATTTCTATTTTAAACATTAAAATACTAGTATTCTGTAGTTACTCTGATATACTGGCTTCCTAAAATATTTTCAAGAATAATTTTGGATGTATGCAATTTCTGAATCTAATTCTTGAATAAGATGCAATTCCATTTAATTCGCTAACATTCTAATCATGTGGTTTAGAAGGATTCCAAATCTGACCTTTTATTCTTCAAAGAGTATTTTCCTGTTTTCAAATGATGTTTTTATGATAACCCTGTGATATGTGTCCAGCTGGTTATATTAATCTTCGTTTTATGGCTGTAGAAGCCAAAATAAAAAATGTCAAGTAATTTGTCTAAGTTCATAGAAACTTTTAGCAACAGAATCAAAATTAGGAGTTTTGTTAAGATTAAATATACAATCATATTGTATTCCACATAAATACGAAAGGTTTTTTATAGCAAGCTTTTTACCATTCTTCAAATTCTATATCAGCATTACCTTGGCTATTTGGGCTATGAAGTATCTTAGAAGAGGTAACCTCTAAGTTCGCAGGTTGGCAATTCTGAGATGGTTCATTCTGGGTGAATGAGGGAACAAATACTCTTTCTGGAGGTTTATGATAGCTTCCCACTATACTATGCATTAACTCAGAATCCATTATCTGTAGAGAATAAAGGAACGATATAATATAGTATCATTCTTTCCTATTTTAAGGGTGAACGCATTATATAAAAATTCAGGTGAAACTTCAACATAACAACATAATCATATACTGTGGAGTTGTATCTTTAGGAACTTAATTATAAATTCAACTCTAATAAGCCTGGCAATAAAAGAAAGAAAAATTACTATTTCTTGTGTAAGTAGTATTGACAATTCTGCCTGATTTTCAATAATCATATACCCTGGAGTAAGCATGACATGAGTGCTGTGAATTTACTGGTTTCTCAGTAACTCACAAATCCCATATATCTATCATAGTCTGAGCATCGCTCTACAAGCAGTGTGACTCTAGGATTTAAAGAGAAAGTACATATTCTAAAAGACAACAGAGCTTTTAAAAACAAGCCAATAATATACACTGATTCTCCAATACTGATTGTTGAATTCTAATGTATGGCTTCCTAAAGGATTTTCAAGGGTAATTTTGGATATATGAAATATCAGAATCTAACCTTTGAATAAGACACATCTCTGCTTAGTGTATTAGCATTTTAGTCATCTAGATTAGAAAGTTTCCAAATCTGAAGAATCGAGACTACTTAGTTTTGTTAGTCTAGTTTTTATTTTGTTGCTGTTTTTGTTTTGGTAAGAGAGCCCTTTTAATCATTTTAGCAAGTAATTTTTGGTCTAAAATTTCCAAATCATTTTATTATCCTTTCTGCAATTTAAATATTTTAGAAATGTATTCTATTTTTTAATAGACCCTAGTCAATGTTAATTAAATTAATTCATAATCACATAAGGTGATAACTGCTCACAAAAAAATAACTCACTGGCAGAATTTTAAGAAAGCTTGGTTCAAAATGTAAATCCAAGAATTACACTATAACATTAGCTTATTTTGATTTTTGAGAGTTGTACATTTTCCATGATTTCACTACCGCCTCAATTCACAAGACAAGAAAGGCAGGCACTTCCCAGGATTATATTTTCTGGAAGAGCAGAAGGCACACTTCACTTCCTAGAATTTTCTACTTTAGCCATTGCCATGATTGGCTATCTCCTAGAACATTCTGATTGGTCTAAATTAGAGGCTGTAAAGCCTAAGGTTTGCTAAGATACTTGATGTTTTTTGTTCTTGCAAGGCAACCATATTTTGCTATTGTTATTAGTACCAGCTATCTCAGACACTGTCCCATGGGATACTGCATCTGTCTAAGTTGTTCCCTCAAAAAACAAGAGATCAACATTAGTCACAGCTGGCTCACTATAAAGTGGAGGTAAGGCCCTAAAGTACGTAAGTCCTGAAGATGGTTGTACGTCTTTAGAGAGAGGTAAGTGGTTAAAGCTATCCCAAGAACACTGGAGCTACTCAAGATATCTGACTCAGTTTTCAGTTCCGGGTGGGTTTCTCCAATGATAGAAAGAATGAAATTTTGCTATTCGTCACTACACACTGAAGTCCTTGGGATATCTCTGCTTCCTCTGACCTAAGTACAATATTATTTCACAAACTGGATTTTGCACCAATTAAAAAACTGGTCCAAATTTGAGGTTTTTAATGTATATGAAATAATGACTAGTTAGAAGGTTGCCAGTAAGTTAAAAATTAAACTACAGTTTATTTAAATTAAATGTGTAGACACATATTAAAGTGGGCACAAGCAGAATAACCCACTGATAGGATAAAAACAAGATGAAGAAAAAGAAAACAGTAAAGAAACGAGAGGACAAGTGATGTTGTGACACAGAGCTCAGAGATTCTCATTGTAATGGGAATTTAGCTTAACCCTTATAATCTGGTCCTGTGTTGTAAACAAGTGCATAAGCCTACTAGAAGCTTATTTATATAAAGCACTGAAGCATCCTGGGAGAAAAACTCACTCTGAAGGAAGGTGAAATAACTACAAAAGGCCTTACATGGCTAAGGAGAGGAGGAGTGATTCTGAGTAGACTATGGTGGTGGTCATTTTAATTTATCTCTGACCTAGTGCCATGACTCAAATGTGGGTTCTAAAAAGAGAGAGTTTAAATAAAAACTGAGAAATGTTTCATCAATATCTCTATAATATATCAAGGCATTAGCTTCCCTGCTTTGTGTAAGATGTTATACGACAATGGAGGGGGAGTCAGATGGCTAGCAGTTTTGGCCCCTTTCTGGTGCATCGGTTAGTAGTATTCAGCAAGAGAGAGAGAGAGCAAGAGAGACAGTGAACAAGAGTGAGAAACCGAGAGAGCAAGAGAGAAACAGAGAGAGATCACAGATGGAAGGGACACATTCATGGGCGTGTATGAGAAATATTTCTAGGGAAAAATTTCTGAAAATACAGAGAAGTACTTAAATCCCAATCTCTAGAATTCTGGTATTTCTGATACTGGACTTAGCTAGCTGTTGGTAACTGAAAAGACCTCAGGAACTCTTATGGAACATTTTATTGGTGTCTGCAAGTAAGGACAAAAGGCTATAAAATGTGAACCTCATTTGTATCAAGCCTGGGAAACTCAGGTTGTACCTGGAACCATTCTTTTTTTTTTTTTCCTTAAAATTTTTATTTACTTTTTCTTTATTCTAAAACAAACAAACAAAAAAATGGAATACATGTGCAGAATGTGCAGGTTTGTTACATAGGTATACATGTGCCATAGTAGTTTGCTGCACCTACTGACTCGCCCTCTAAGTTCCCTTCCTTTACCACCCACAGGCCCTGGTGTGTGTTGTTCCTCTCTCTGTATCCAGGTGTTCTCAATGTTCAACTCCCACTTACGAGTGAGAACATGCAGTGTTTGGTTTTCTGTTCTTATGTTAGGCTGCCGAGGATGATGGCTTCCAGTTTCATCTATGTCTCTGCAAAGGACATGAGCTCATTCCTTTTTATGGCTGCATAGTGTTCCATGGTATACATGTACCACATTTTCTTTATCTAGTCTATCATTGATGGGCATTTGGGTTGGTTTACCTGAAACCATTCTTGACAGCTTGTGAACAACCAGGGAAATTACTCCCTGTCTTTACGGTCTATAAAATAAAGATACTCTAATTGGCTGCCACTAAGATCCCATTGCATAAAAAAACTATCCCCCTAAAAAGAATGCTCTAGACACAAACACTTTACTGCAAAGCATTTTTACTTTTTATAGAGGAAAACACTTATTCCACAGGACTACTAGGGAGATGACATTCCTTTATTTCAAAAGTCTTCTATAGTATCTCTGACCATTCACCCAGAATGAACCATCTCAGGAAGCTGAGGCAGGAGAATCACTTGAACCTGGGAGGTAGAGGCTGCAGTGAGCTGAGATTGCACCACTGCACTCCAGCCTGGGTGACAGAGCGAAAGACTCTCTCTCAAAAAAATAAAATAAAATAAAATAAAATAAAATAAAATAAAATAAAATACAAGTTTCAGAGCAGACTTCTTTGGTTCAAACTGAAGCACTGCTGTGTGACCTTGATCAAATGTTTAATTTCTCTGTGCCTCAAATTCCTCATTTGCAAAATAAAAATTAAAATGGTATCTTAACACATGGGTTCCCAACCTCTGGCCTGCGGACTAGTATCCATTCTTGGCCTGTTAGGAACCAGGCTGCCCAGCAGGAGGTGAGTGAAGGTGAGCAAGCATTACCACCCAAGCTCCACTTCCTGTCAGATCAGGGCAGCATTAGATTCTCATAGGAGCGCGAACCCTATTGTGAACTGTGCATATCAGGGATCTAGGCTGCATGCCCCTAATGAGAATCAAACTAATGTCTGATGATCTGGAATGATCTGGGGTGAAACTGTTTCATCCCCAAACTATCCCCCTACCCCTGCCGCATCTGTGGAAAAATTGTCTTCCACAAAACCGGTCCCTCCTGCCTTAACATATAAGACTGCTTTAAGGATTAAATGAGACAACGTAAGTAAGGTACTCAGAAAGATGTCTGATACATAGTAAATGTTGATTCATATTAGCAATTATTATCTTTAAGGGATAAAGGAGAAGAACAATTCAAAGATAATTCTCAGATGATCTAACTTGGCTACTGTGTAGATATTAATTTAATTAATTTACCAGGGACTAGTACTCAAAATATCTGAAGAACTATAAATCAGAAAGAAACACAAAACCCAATAGAAAAAATAAGCATAAGGGACACTTCAAAAAGAGGAAACATAAGTGGTTTATAAATACAGGAAAAGATGCTCAACCTCAGTAGTAGTCACGGAAATGCAACTTAAAACCACAAATTAGCATTTCATATCCAACAGTTAGGCAAAATGTAAAACTGACAATATAAAATTTCAGAAATGATGTAGAACTATGAGAACAGTAGTAAGTGTTGGCACATAAACTGGTACCAATTTTAAAACAATTTAGTATTATGAAATAAAATTGAATATATATTTCTTTACATATACATATATACATACAGATAGATATTACAATCTAATGAGTAAGTCTTAGAGAAACTTTTACATATCATCACCAGGAAAGACATTATTGAGAATATTTGTAGCAGCACTATCTATAATAGCAAAAACTAGGAATAGCCGAAATGGATAAACAGATAAACTGTGGTATATTTACACAATGTCCTAACAAAGACAATGAATCATTTGTGGTAAAGATTTCAATAAGGATGAATCTTAGAAAACTGTTGGGTGAAAAATGCAAGTTACTGAAGAAGAGTATCATAAAATTTTTTGTTATTGTTGCTGCTGTTTTGTGTTTTTTAGAGATGGTGGTCTCACTATGTTGCCCAGGCTGGTCTTATTCACACATTTAGAGTTCTAATTTTAAACTCACATTTCTTAGATCTTTAACTGTAGGAATTCTTCGAAGTCAATGTTTAAAGCACCTTTCTTCAGAGAAAACTTCTATTTTTCTGCTAGGATCTGAGGCACCCCAAACCAAAAACATCATTAAACTAAACCTTTAGATTAAGATTACTTTTGCAAGGCGAATTTCAACTTCAAACTCACATGAGCATAGGATTGTGATGAGGAATTCTCAGGAA